CTGCTACTGCTACTGTAGTCGTAGTAGTAGTAGTACCACCACCACCACCACCACCACCACCACCACCACTGTTACTGCGACTATTACTATTGCTACTATACTTGAAGTACTCCTGCTAATGCTAGTACTAGTGCTCGTGCTAGTGCTAGTGCTCGTTCTACTGCTACTGCGACTATTACTGTTACTTCTTGGCTGCTGCTGCTGCTGCTGCCGCCGCCGCCGCCGCCGCGGCTGCTGCTGCTGCTGCTGCTACTGCGGCTGCGGCTGCGGCCGGCTGGTGGTGCTGCTGCTACTGCTACTGCTACCGCTACTGCTACTGCTACCGCTACCGCTCCTGCTGCTTCTCCAGGCTTGAGCCCTCCAGAAAAAAATTATACCTTGTGTCAAGCATATAATTATACACACAGTGTGTCATACTAGCCCGTATCCTCAATCTTTGGAGGTAGCATTCCCTTCCTTTTCCCAACCTGCTTGTGGTGTAGAATGACGTTCACACACCGATTGCATTTAACATCAAATCCCTCAACCTAAACCCTGAAACTACCCTCTAAGGGTGTTGAACAAGCGGCCCTCTGTCGCGCGCACCTTCGTGCAGCTCTCCAATCCTTGCACTGTCACCGGTAGCTCCAGGTTGCAGGTTTGGGGATTCTCGTGCTGAAACGCGAGCAATGTCAAGGGCCCTGAAGTCGAGTCACTCTCGCTTGTGAGAACGACAAGCAAGTTTTGGACAGAAACTAAGGAGGCAGTAGGCTAGAGGTTAGTCGTGGTCGCACATTCATTGTAGCAGTGCAGTGGTAATTACAGTAAGTCGCAGCTAGCAGCTACCAGCAGCAGGAGGGCAAGTAGTAGTAGTAGTAGTAGTCGTCGTCGTCGTCGTCGTAGTCGTAGTCGCAGCCGTAATCGTAGTCGTAGTCGTAGTCGTAGTCGTCGTAGTAGTAGTAGTAGTAGTAGTAGTAGTAGCAGCAGCAGTGGCAGTAGCAGTAGCAGTAGCAGCAGCAGCAGCAGCAGCAGCAGCAGCAGCAGCAGCAGTAGTAGTAGTAGTTGTTGTTGTTGTCGTTGTAGTTGTAGTTGTTGTTGTTCTTGTAGTAGTAGTAGTAGTAGCAGCAGTAGTAGTAGTAGTAGTAGTAGTAGTAGTAGTAGTGGTGGTAGTAGTAGTGGTAGTAGTAGTAGTAGCAGTAGTAGCACTGGTAGTAGTAGTAGTAGTAGTAGAAGAAGTAGTTGTAGTTGTAGTTGTAGTTGTAGTTGTAGTTGTAGTTGTAGTTGTAGTTGTAGTAGTAGTAGTAGTAGTAGTAGTAGTAGTAGCAGTAGCAGCTGTAGCACTAGCACTGGCAGTACCAGCAGCGCTACAGCAGTACCAGTCCCAGTCCTAGGCCCGTCCCTGGCCCTAGTCCTGGTCCTAGTCAGGGTCCTAGTCGCGGTCGTCGTCCTATCAGCGGCCGCAGTGATAAGAACAAGAAGAGCTATCAGTATCAGGAGGCACAAGAAATACTCATATACCGAAAACCCTGAACTCAAACAATCAACCTGCAAAATAAACCGTCAAACTAGGGCGCAGGCTGTTCGAAGGAGAGGTCCATGAAGATGTCGGCTCGTGTCACCCTGGGATCCAAGATTTCCAGGATTTCGTGACAACGGTAGTAGGATTGTGGATTTCTAATTCGCATTGAAGGTTGTGAGTTCAGGAGCGGATAGTTTTGAAGAAATGCAATATGAGCGAGTTTTGCTGTTGCGCGACCTGCATCAATCCCAACGCAGGTGCAGCTTACTGGTTCAAACTGTAGCGGTTTAGAGGATAATGGTCACGCTACCCAACCCAGTACTTCTGGACCTTTCTTCGCCAAGTCGCACCATAGGATGCGCAAGCTCGGTGATGGAATCCACACCTTCACAGAATCCAAAACTCTCTTGAACTCGTGGAGCTTGAGGCTGTTAGGGTCAAGGGTGTGGTTGGGGCCGAGGGTTTGGGTTCAGCGTTTAGGGTTTGGGATCAGGGCGCAAGTCAAGGTTTAGGGCTTGATCTGTACAGGCTCTGACTAAAAGGATCCAGGAGCTCAGAAAACAGCCTGAAACGTATGCCAGTTTAAGGCTTAGGCCTTGGAGGATGTGACATCGGGGCCCAAACTCTACATTCCCCCCCCCCCCACCAGCCTTCTTTGACCTTGCTCTCGAGGACTGCTTTGTGCCTTTCTTCCGCCGCCTGGCCAGAGTTTGGCTTGCAGCTCCAGATGCATTCCAAGGCTGGTGCCGGAAGTTCGGTGGGGGGGGGGGGTGGGGAGTTGGCATTCAAGGCTCAGACTGGGGGCATGAGCCCCAATAAGCTTGAGAGAGAGCTTGTGGGCCATGACTTCAAGCAAGGTTTGGTGGTCCAACCCCTTGTGCCCAAAGCCCGAAACCACGCATAAATCCCACGGTAGACCTCAAACCCCTACAGTTACAAGCCTACAAGTTCGAATCCTGTGACCCTAAAGCCCTGCTGAAGACTTCTGCAAGGATCCGTACTTTGGCTTACGCAAGATCTTCATTAAGGGAGTTCGGGGATGTACCAAAACCCTTCAATTCCTCATGCCACCCTGTCCAAGACCGTACCAAGCCCCATAAAACCCTATGAAGCAGCTTTAAACAAATCGGATGAACCATTGGCATAACCTCATCAAGCCATATACCTTAGAAAACCTTTGTCACCTCAGTGAAATCCTCTAACGCCTTTTACAACCTTTCAAAGCCCTGTACCAAAAAAACGCTGTACTCTCGAGCCTCTTCTAAAGCCCTTCCTAAGGTGACCTTCAGACGCCGGCGGATGCGCTGTGTGTAGGCCCAGACGAGGGCTGGCCCGGCGGCCGTGAAAAGCAACCTGGGGCGTTTCTAAGCGTGGGTTGATAGGGGTTTAGAAAGGGTTTCGACGGGCTTATAGGGTGTTCGAGGGGTTTCTAGGAATCTTCAAAAGGATGTCAAAAGGCATTCAGAAGGCAGAAATCTTCCAGGGTGTTGGGTTTTTGAGCTGTTTTACGGCTTCTGACCCTGTGATCTCTTGCGCTCACAGCGAGCTTACGAGGGTGAATATCCTAGACGGCTACGCTGTTTAGAGATGGCTAGAGCGTTTCTTGAGGGTCGGCAGAGGCTTCTCGATGAAGTTCTCAGTGTCTGTTTTGATGGTCTGCGGCCTTTTCGGTAAGCGGATTCCATGGAGTTTCGCTTGGGGATGATTACGTCTACGTGCGTGTTTATTTGGTTTCTATCGACCCTCACACGGCTGCGAGCAGCCATGCAACCATTAGGAACCCTGGATGGGCAAAAGATGGTCGTGCTGCCAGGAAAATAATTCTCAAGGCTCCCTTGGGTGTCATGCTGCTAAGATCCGTGGCCGTCAGATGGAGTCGTTCGCGCATACAGTCGCTGCGGCCCTGAGGGCCACGAGGATGAACGGAGTCATTAGGCAGCCCGAGAAAGTACGAAGGGACCCACGTATGCAGCCGGATGGCATGGCAGCAGTCATTAAAATCACCTCAGCAAGCTTCAGCATAGAGTTTTCAGGGACATGGAGCGATGAGTAACTGCAAGACTAGCGGGGATTTCGAAGAGGAAAAGGCTGGTGATGGTATGACGATTCATGACGATGGCACATGATTCTGGACGACAACTATGTTTATTTTGATTTCCATGCTGTGCGTAACGGTGACACGGACGATGGTGAGAACCATGATGACGGCCATGGTGGTGATGATTGTGATGGCGGTGGCGATGATGATGCTGGTGCTCATGATGACGGAGTACTATCATACAGAAAATCCGGAGTATCATGTTGATGCCAATGAAAATTAAATTAAGGTCTTGACGCTCACAGCAACAACGATGCGTTGATAATTGTTGTTCTGGGAATAAGTGATAATGCTGATGGTGCTGACTCGACGACCATGCTGTTCTACTTGTCGATGACGAAGCAAACGACGAAGACGATGCTGCCAACGCAGCTGCTGGCTTCTGCTACTATAACCACTGCTGCCACTACTTCCACCCCTTGCACGCCGAATACTGCATGTATTTTCAATCAAGAGTATACCACACCGCGCTGTCGCCATGGCACCAGCCACACTGCATCTGAGGCCAGTCGGCAAGCGCTCGGGGCCTGCACAGAACATATCAGCTATCACATTGAGGCGACTGCTCTTGCGACAATTTTTATGACATGTACGAAGCTAGTTGTTGTGGATCTTCAGTGTGTCTGTTGAGTTCGGAGGCATGAGAAACAAAAGAATCAGCAATCATGCCTGATGAGAACAAGGAAACCGACTCACAGAGCAAACAGTCTTGGCCTCAGCACCGTCCCGAGCCGTCGTCTGCCTCGGCTTCTGCGATGTCGTGACAAAACAGGTTCCAAAGCGGAAACCTGCGTACAAAGACATGCATAGGTGTGCACGTCGCCATGTACATACATACACATGTATATGAAAGATATATATTTATGTAAACATGTATATATACACATATGTATACATATTTTTGCATATATATACATATATATATATATATATGTATATACATATGTGTTTATATGTATGTATATAAAGATATAGAGATATGGATATGTACATACACACCGTATATACTCGTGCTTGTGCATGCATATACATATATATATAGGTATATAAGTATATAGATATGAACGTAAGTATGTATGTATGTATGTATGTATGTATGTATGTATGTATGTATGTATATACAATTTATACATAGACATGTATGGTACCCCCGTCCAGAAACTACCTCCAAAGCATGTTTGCCTTGGCTCGAAAAGCAGGTTTGACTTGAGCCGCCTTTGAGAATTCTAGATATGTATATATATATATATATATATTTACATTTATTTATTTATCTATTTGTTTATTTATTTATTTATTTATTTAAAACACCTCTGCGACTTACTGCTCTTCAAGGTGCGTTAGTGCATACGCGGGCATGCACATGAGATCTTAGCAGATGCCTGCCTTGAAAACGGCGTTGAAACAATGCATGTGTCCATATCTATCTATATATATATATATGCATACATACTTATATACACATGCATACTTACACTAAGATACTTCTACTTCTACTTGCACATTTGCATATACATATTAAAGAAGCATTAAAGAAATATAAGCAAATATATATATATATATATATGTATACATGTATATATATATACATATATATATACACGGTTTTATATGTATGCATATATATATATATATATACATATACATATTCAATATAGATGTATACAGTAGTAAAGTCCTAAAGCCCCCACACCATATCGAAACCCCAACTCTAAACAAGCTATCCATTCTCAGCTTTTTGCCTCAGGCAGACCTCAGTCCACAAACGAAAACCTTGCACATAAACTGCCACATCTTAAGTTTTTCCTCAGCCCTCAGCCCTTGACCTGCGAAATCTACAGCTTCTGGAGCCAAAAGCCTGAAACCAGCAACCTCAGCACTTACTGAGATAATCTACATGGTAAGACCATTGAATCTCCCTACCTCAGCGCGAAACCTATGTCGGAGACCCTTAGCTACTCCGAGCTGCAGAAAGCCGCAGGCGGTGCAGGTGTCACCATCCCTGTAGGAATCCTCTCTTGTCGCGGGGGCACGGGGGAATAGTAGTTAGAAGAGAGTAGATATGGGACTGTACCCTCCAATCTGGGACTGCCCAGGGGACATGCTTGCTAATTGTGCTGCAAGGCACGTACCTGACCTACTAGTTTGTCGGGCTGGGGGGGCAGAGCTGAAGGTCTGAGGCTTAAGGGTTTGGCAGTTTGAGGCTGCAGATTTCGGATTTTGTGCTGGGAGCTCTAGGGCTTAAGGCTCGTATCTGGAAGCAGGGCATGTGCAAAAACAAGCAAAGTGTGAGCCAGTGTACCTGCTCCGAGCTTCTCTATGGCAAACACCACACCCCAGCCCCCGATTGAACTTGAAGGCCTTGCAAAGCGGCCCTGCTAAACAAAAAGGAGAACCCTCAAAGCCAAGGCTGCTTTGCCTTGGGGCAGACACACTGCTCTTTGGCGCTGGAGCCCTCCATGAACGTCGTGAAGCCGGCCTGCAGGTAACCCAGAGAGCGCCCCAAATACATGCATTTGTTTAATCTAGTGGCGTAGTCTCCATACTTGCGGATATTCACGGCACACTCTTGTTTTGAAGGATGTAGTTGCTTCTCTGTCTGAGGGGCTCAGAGTGCTTGAATCTCCAATACCTGCTACGTTTTAGGTCGTCATCGGGATTCGCAGACTGCCCAAGAATCTACGCGGAACGCCGATCAGAGGCACAAAACTGCACACCCAGCGGACCTAGCTCAGCGCAAGCAGCTGCCGGCTTTCGATACTCTTACGAAACTCGAACTGAAATATCCTGCCCCTTGCAATGGAGATGATCATCGCCGAGATGGTCCCCAACCCCTAGTTGGTGGGGAACACCCTCCCGGCTCTCCGAAAATCCAGTAACCTGGCAAAACCTCGAGAACTCCAAGCCAAGAGAAACCCCCAACACTCTACACCCGTAAGGCCCCAAACCGGAGACCTGGCACTGGCTGCAGGACGTCATGCCGAAGTTTGGCGCATACCTGCAGAAGGGGGGCTATCTGAACTGAAGAACAAAAGCGAGCGGAATGAACAACAAGAACACAGACCTTTCGAGAACATCGACAACGAAAAGAAAGAGGAGCATACGAAGGCCAACACCTCAAGCCCGCCATCGGCCCTGGAAAACGCAGACCTTGGATTTCTCAAGCCCGAAAGCCCGAAACCCTGGACTGCGACTCCAAGAGAAACAGCCCGGAAGAAGACCAGCAGAGCCCATAGAACCCATTTTCATCCGAGTCCGAGGGTCTCCCCGGAGCTGCAGGGAGTGCACTTCGAGGCCGCATCCTGGAATGAGCCATGCAGAGCTGGGTCTGGAGTCCGGAGTGCGTGTAGTTCATACGAGGATCTGTCTGAGTATAAGTGCTGGAGGACTGGAGCAGCACTTGGGATTAAAGTTTTAAGATTTTTTGCATGCTAGGGACTGGAAATCCAGTTATAGGTTATTTACCATTCTGGGTAGGATTTGGGATATCATCATTTGGAGGATTTGATTTTGCTCAGGATTCTTCTCAGGATTTGTTCTAGGGTTTATATTTGCTCAGGTTTTGTTCGATGATTTGTGTTATCATACCGAGTTTGCTCTGAA